GAGCAGGAGCCCAATGACTGGATTCCACCAACAAGATAACCCACACTCAAGAGTTGAATTGTAGGATGTTGTTGAACCATGGCTTGTTAGCACAGAGTTCAGACTACATGATAACCCATCTTTCAGCAACAACCTACCCTCAACCCATATTCAACTCCTGAGTATGGGCTATTGTGTTGTCGGAACCCAACTGTGCTAATGTGAACAACCCATGATGGGAACCCATGTTTTGTTGTTATGTTGTGGACTGCAGGTTATTCACCATAGTTTGTTAGGACAGTTGGGTTCAAACACAATAACCCACACTCAAAGGTTGTTCATGGGTAGCGTGTGGGTTGTTCGTGAATGGTGAGGTGTTGCTGAAATACTGGTTATCCTGCTGACTGATCCCAGCTGTAATAACAAGCCATGGCTTATCAACTACAAACAGTCATAGTTTGTTGTTGGGCTGTAAAGTGTGGCTTGTTCACCAGTGATTGTTATCTCAGCTGTCTTTAGACAACACTCTTATCCTTTCAAAAACAATCTTTCAGTTCAATGACAACCCCCATACTCAAACCATGAGTGTGCGTGTGTGTGTGTGTATGCGTGCGCACATGTGTATAAAACCTGATATTATACATGGTAACTGTTATAACTAACAGTGTTCTTAGGCCCTCTGGCAAGTGCCTGTCTTCCTTGCCTATACAACACATAAATGCTTTGTAAATATAACCATCTACGTATCTTTACACACATAAAAATACAAAACCAGAATTCTGCTTCCTGGGATCATCCTGCCGGTTCCGTGTTTCCTTCTAGTCCTTATTCAGTGACATAAGTATGAAGTTAATTTGGATTCCCTTGCAAGAGGAGCGCTGCTGTTCAAGCTAAGGGTACATCACCATCGCGTATTAATGCACCTTTCTTGGCACCCACTGTGCTTACCCTCCTATTTTCTTCCCTACTTTTTATTTTAATTAATACAGTTTCTTACCAGCCATGGAAAGGGATTGCAGTGGAATGAGCTTCAGTTGGTGCTGAAAATGGTGAATTCAGAGGAGCTGCTTAGCATGTGTTGGAGCTCAGCCCCAGTCCCGCCTTCTACTCAGTCTTTTGGGCAGGTTGCTTGTCCTTTGCCATGCCTTGTATGGCAGCCATGTTGTGGTGGTGCCTGGCCGATTTCTGCATTTGCCCAATATGCCTACAGCCCCAAAAGCTTACCCATCCCTGCTGAAAGGTATTCTCTCTCCCTCTCCTTCTCCCTGTGTGTGTGTGTGTCAGAGGAAGTAGGGAATGTAGCTCCCGGACTTTTTTCTAAAATGCATCAGGCTAATTGATAGATCCTTCTTGCTCTGACAGGTGAATGAGATAATAACAATGCTTTCAAGTTTTTTTCCCCCTGCTGTTTGTGACAGATTAGCATACAGGAACTTGGAAAATGATGAAAATCATCAAGCCTAGGTTGAATACTTCTTCCGTCTTCTTTGGGCCTTGACATAGCACAAGAGAAGCGAACACTCCGTAAAGCCAGAGTTGCAAATGTTACAACGGTGGTGCCCACACGTGTCTGCCCGACATGTGGCAGGACACTCCGTGCCCGTATCGGCCTTATCAGCCACCTGCGGACACACTGTGGACAGCTCACAACCCGTTAGATGTCAAGGTCCTCATCGAAAATGATGGACGAACATCACTTCATATTAGCAGTTCCAGTGCTAGTACTTTGTTAGGGAACTGCGTGGTGTAGTGGTTAATGTTAGAGTGGGACTCTGGAGATCGAGGTGGCTGTGACAATAAAATGGAGCAGAAGGGGAGGATTATGTGAACCTCCCTGGGTTCCTTGCAGGAAAGAAGATGGGGTGTAAACATTATAAATAGGTATCACTTAAAGCTTGGATTTCAGCTGGCTGAGGAAGAGCTCAGTGTGTTTTACAAGTTGACCTATCCAGTAGGCATTTCCGCTGAATTCAAAGCTGCCCTAAAGGACTGTATACTTTGCCCTGTAAACCTAGGATGCTTCTGGCTGTAGTCTCCTATGAGTAGCCCTTCCCATCCAAAGACATGATGCAGCTATTCTGTCTTTCCTTCAGCAGAAGGAAGAACAAAAAGAAAGACAGACAAGAAGCAATTGGAAAATAGAGGAGGAGTTAGAAACTGAAAACTGCCCTTTTGACCCTGCCATCAAATTCAGCGAATAAGGCAGACAGATGGGACAAATCTGGACCTTGACTGGAAACACAGTTAGTTAAGAGATTTTATCAGTAGTTTGTGTGTTGCTTTTGGATACCTGCTTTGTGATAGGTATTTTAACCAAAGTGTAAGCATGCATTATACTATGTAAGGTTACGTGAAGTTTATTGTAGGTTATTATGCTTACAGAATGGAGAAGAAGAGAAGTAGGCTATGAGTGAGTGAGTGTATGCATGGATTCAGACTTTTGCAGCTTTGCACCCTCCAAATATGCTGGACTACAACTCCAGTCACCCCCACCCACCCCCGTCAGCATGGTCCTTCCAGTTGCTGAAGGCAGAAATATTTATCCAAGTTTGCGGCTTTGGATTCCTCTTGTGGGGTGTGGCTATGGGGGGCGGTGTCATGATGAGTATCTGTGCTTTCCCACGGCAGCTTTGTGTCAGGTTATGGAGCTCCACTGGCTGAGGCCTCCTTTCAAACTGCACTTTCAGTCAGCAGAGCAGAATGCAAGAGATTGTCTCCATGGCAACCAGGTGAGCCCTGTCACAGATCCTATAAGGATTTATGCTGGGAAATGACAGCCCTTTCACAACAGGCCCTGTGGGAATAAAGCATTGTTAAGCTGCCCCAGGAGCTTACCTGTGCTGCCTGAAGGTGTCATCCATGCACTTGTAATCTCTGGTAAGGTGGTGGTGCGGGACTGCTTTTGACAAGGTGGGCCTCTCTGCTTAACTCTGCTACCAAACAAAAGGAACCCCCTCATCATTTGTTCCTGCAACGTTATGTATTGATCCAGCCTTTCCCAGCCCAGCCAGTGCTGCCCTGGTGGTTGTGCATTATGGGAGTTGTATTCCAACACATCTGGAGAGCTCCTGCTTGTGAGAGGTTGGATTGATCCCATTCCTGCTGTCTCCCTCTTCTCTTTCCTCCTCCCCCTTTCTTCCGCTGCTGGCAAAATTTGGCTGTAAGCTTCTCTAGCCTTGCCTGGAAGCAGTTGGCTTTTCCTTATGCTACCTGTACCACTTAGGCTACCTAATTATGCATTGTCCAAAAATGTGGAAAATGGGGACACAGGTTTGTATTATATTTGCATATGTATGTTTATTCATAACTATGATAATTTAAATAGAAATAGGATACAACTGGGAAAGAATGGCCAGGTGACCCCTATGCAATAACTCTTTGAGACACTGTCTTAAATCTTTGCAGACTTCCATCTGCTGTCAGGCATTTGATAGCACATTTCATAGGGCACAATCCTATGCATTTTTTGACAGAAAAATGTCTTACAACATCCAGCATTCCCCAGAAAGCCATGACTGACAGGGAATGCTGGTAGGACTTTTCAATCCTGCCTAAGATTATGCCCTTAATATAGTTATCATATCAGGCCTTGGTCCTTTTTATTAATTGATTTTTACTGTTCTAAATATATTTTCATTTTTCATATTTTAATCTCTTGTGCAAGATGCTTGAGACAGTGGAACCAGTTGCCAAGAGAGGTCGTGTGCTGTTCCACACTGGAGGCATTCAAGAAGAAAATAGACAGTGATCTGAGTGGGATGGTGTGGCTGGTGTCCTGCACCATCAGGGAGTTGGACTTGATGGCCTTCTTGGCTCTTCCAACCCTACTATTCTATGAAATTTAAATGATGGTTGAATGTGCTGTTAAAGCAAAATAGTAAGGGGTGGTGGTGGTTTGGACACGATCTATCTCCCCATGGTGTCATTTCTGAAATGTAGAAAATGTAGTTTTGGAATTGGAACAGAAACTTTCTCTCATGCTCATGAGACGGTATGTATGTGTGTATTATGCACGTATATATGGGATCGGATTATGGTATGTGTGTGGGAGGAGACCCATGTTGCAAGTTTGTTCTGGGCTTCCCCAAAATGCTGCTGTGTGAAATGAACTGAAAGAATCAGCAGATACCTCACAAGACCAGAAGTGTATGGCTTCTTCTGGAACAGGTGATCAAGTAAACAATACAGGAATGGTTATTATTATTTATTGAATTTATTTGAGAGCTGCCCACTAGCTTCATGCCCCCTCATTAGAATTGTTCTCTCTAATGGGCAGTTTTCATACAGACAAGTACTAGAGACCTGGAAAATTAATCCAGATGGGTAGAGTTACAGAGGCCAGTTGAGGTTCAAGTACCTGAGTCCTGAAGGATCAGGCAAACAGCCTATCTAATCTGTCCTCCTGTTTTGCATTGTGGCTGGCCAGATGCCCCTGGGAAGCCCAGTGGCAGGATGGTGCTTCCTACAGCCACAGCCTGGCAAATGGAATGGAGGTGTCTGCTTCCATCTCTCCCCTCTGCAGGATGGGCAGCAAGAGCAGGACCACCCTCCCTGCCCATGTGGTGCACACATCTCACCTTTGACACCTTTGATCTGAGTGGGATGATGTGGCTGGTGTCCTGCACCAGCAGGGAGTTGGACTTGATGGCCTTCTTGGCCCTTTCCAACCCTACTATTCTATGATTCTATGAAATTTAAAAGATGGAGTTCACGTGATCTGGGTTTCTACGTGTGGCATCTCACACATGTCTGCCCTATTCATATCTCAAGTCCTTACATGGGTGTCTGGTGGAGGGAAAGGTGGGACAAGCATGTCAGAAGAGGTGGATAGGTGCGGTACATCTTTGCTCCCTACCACTTGCAATAGAGCAATCTTGACACGAATGTTCCCATCCAGCCCAAAGGCATGTGGAAGCACTTGCTGGCCTGATGGAATTCACAGCTCTTTTCTCTCTTTTCCGCAGATCAGTGTTATCCATCAAACTTGCTGGTAAATAAAATCTCCTTTTCTGATTCCACAGGCCCACAGAACCTGGTACAGAATGAAGCTGAAGAAGTCCCCCGTGGCTGGATGCTGCTTCTTGTTTGCCTTATCCGTGGTCACACTTACTGGTTTCTCTCCAGCCCCACTCAGCAGCTACAAGGAGTCTGATTTCCAGTTCCTGCCTAGGAATGAGCCTCTTGAGAAAGCTGCTCGTGCCAAGCGTATGTGGAAAAATTCCACTGTCTCTGTTGCCCGGCAAGCATGGCGCTTCAGCCACAGAAAATGGCCCGGTCCTCAGGGGAGACTTAACTTATCAAGTCCTGGTTCTTTTTGCAAGCAAAAGAGCAAACTGAGCACACAGGGTGGACAAAATCTGCAGGAGTTAAAAGCAAGGAGGAAGAACAGCAGGCAGATTAGAAAACCTAACACTGTGACAAAAGGCCCTGAATGCAGAAGAAAATTCCAACCTAAACACCATCCCTCCCAGACTAACCACAGTAAGCGGAGGGAGTATGATGCCCCTTTTAGTTTAAACCATGCTGGGAAAGAGCGTAGTTTCTCCCCACCTACAATTGGGAAGGAGGTAGATGGGAAACCACAAAGGCAGTTGGCTCCGTTGGCTCATCCTTTGCAAGAGGCAGAGCCCGGAGCTCTTTTATTTCATAAAAATGCTTCTGGAGGCCAGCTAGCTGTACCACAGGAACAATGTAAACCAGATGTACAGCCAGCTGGCGCTCAACACCAGCCCTCTGATCTAATCAAAGCTTTCATCTCAGACAGGCAGTCCTCCCAGACTGTGACAGGCACTTGGATGCAGATGAGAAATGCTCACTCTGCACATCCACATTTTTGGACCAGAGACCCAGAGGAGCTGCAGAAATCCAACTGGTGCAAAGAGCCACAGGGCAATGGCCATCCAGGAAAACAGGAGGGGAAACTGAGGTTTGGTGAGAAAAGCCTTCCATGGTTTACTCCAGAAGATGTTGAGAAAATGAAGCTTCTGACTAATGGCACAGTTGTCAGCAAAGACAGAATACCTGGCCATGGGCAAATACTCAGAGTTACCCTCTCCAACCAAGGTGTTCTCTCACATGACCCTAGCAGCCTCTGTCTTGATGGGCTGTGCGGATTAATCAAAAGGACCACTGACCTCTATGAGGTCCTGGCTTTCCACTTGGACAGGGTGCTGGGGCTGCATCGGAGTTTACCTGTGGTGGCCAGGAAATTCAGCAGTCACCTGCTACCTTATAAATACACCGATGGTGCCACTAGGCCCATTGTATGGTGGGCACCTGATATACAACACCTGAATGATTCCAATAATGACCAGAACTCATTTGCTCTTGGATGGCAGCAGTACCAGGATCTGCTACGGCAACGGTGTGGCATGAAAGATTCTGGAACATCTCTTGGGAAAGCACCATGTTTGACTGTCCTGCATTCAGAATGGGCCAAATTGGCACTCTTTGATTTTCTCCTTCAGGTAGACCTGCTGGTGGAACAACCACTTTTCCCCTTTCTTTCCTCAACTCAAAATAAGAGGTAGAATTGTACACTTTTTGACAAACGCATAAAGCTTGGTATGTACAAACCAAGAGCCCAAAGTAAGATAGAAAGATGTTCCTAAGATTTGCAGGCATTCGAATGGTGGTTGATTTTGTGACTTGTCAGGGAGTCATGATACCCAAATGGGGCATCTCTGGTACTGTGGATCTGACTTCCCCACATGCTGTGTTGCAACACTCCCTCTGACCTCACCTGAATTACTTGCCCAGCAAGCCTCATGAAAGCAAACAATGCATGTAATGCATTGTTAATTATACAAATCTGCACTTTTGCGTATGGCTGAACCATCATTCTTGCAATGATCGTTCATCAATTCATAGCAGCTCATTGCAACTTTTGGAGAATACTGGCAAGCAATGAGTGACCAACTCAGTCTATAGGCAAAGAAAGCATGGGCTATATAATAGTTTCTGTCCCTGGCAACAGCTATCTTCACACACACAGAAAATACAAGTGTCCCAAAGACTGAGAGTTCACATGTCGTACAAGGATCGAAAAGTCCTGGATTCAAATCCCCCAAAGCGGTGAAGCTCATATCAGGTTAATTCAGGCTTCCCCAATTTGGTAACCTGCATTTATTTGGGACTACAGCTCCTACTAACCCTTCAGAGAAACATTTTGGCCAGTGGTCTAGGATAATGGGAGTTGTAGTCCAAATGTCTGGAGGGTGCCACAATGGGGAAGCCTGTGCAAATCATTTTCTGTCAGCTTAACCTACCTCACAGGATAGTTGTGCAGATAAAATAGGGTGATGGAAGGAAAAACTCATCCATTGTCCTGACTTCCTTGAAGGGCAGGCAGCAAATGATCATCTTTAGTAAGTAAGTTAGTAAATAAATAAAGTCTTAATTAGAACTCCAAGGAGAACCTTTAGTTTGTTGTTCATTAGCTTTGATCTACCCACCAACTGGGAAATGTCCTCAGGACAATTTGCTCTCATAAACCAAGACACTATAACAAAACCAGGCTAAATATTTTTTAATCATAACGCTACAACAAGGCATTGAAAGAATACGATATTGCACATCGAAACGTTGTAAAACACCAAGAAGGCATCGGTAATGTAAATAGAGCAACAGATTAAAGGTTAAGTCCCTGCTTTAAAAGGATGGTCTTAATCTGGCATCTAAATACAGTGGTACCTTGGCTCACAAACTTAATCCATTGCAGGACTCTGGTCGTGACCCAAATTGGTTGTGAGCCAAGTTAAATTTCCCCATAAGGTTCAATGTAAATAAGGTTAATCCATTCTGTAACCATTTTTTAAATCAAAAAAATGTGAAGCAAAGTTACAAAGAACAACAAAGATCGCGGCCATCTTACCCCCACCCCCACCCTGAGCACAAGTGCAGCCATCCCCCCACCCCCCCAGCACGACTGAGATTGCTCCCGTCGTTCCTGCACTTTCCCGTCATCCCGGCGTGCTGGGGTGGGGGGGAGAGATGGGCGCGAATGGGGCACCCATTGGGGCTTCCCCCCCAAGCACGATCACGGCCATCTCCCCACTTGGGGCGGGGGGAGATTGCCGAGATTGCGCCCGTCTTTCCTGCAGGAGCGCGCCTGTGATCACGTATGTCCTCCCTGCACAAATGCACCTGCGTTTGTGGCCATCTCCCCAGTCGGGGTCGGGCAGGAGATGGCTGCAATGTTGCTTGCCACCCAATGAGGAATTCGCGACCCAAGTCAAAATTTTCATGACATTTTTGTTCACGACCCAATTTGGTTATGAACCAAGGTGTTTGTGAGCCAAGGTACCACTGTATATGCCATGATGACACTAGGACCTAGGGGGTGGCATTCCAGGGAAGTCTCTTTGCCCAGTACCTGCCCATCACACCATTGTGATGTGGTGACACCGCCAAGAGAGCTTCTTTTATGCTCATGAAGTGCATCATTCTGTCACAAAGCGCAGACTTCCTCCCCCTTTGGAGCAACCCCCGCCAGGTCAGGCCCCAGAGACATCCAGGGGGTCCAGGGACTGGAAAAGCTACCGCTGCAATCACAGCTAGTACACCAAGTCAGTCCCACTCTGCCTGCACATGGGCTCGGTCAGACATCACAGTCTTTATATGATTCCATGAATCTGGATCAAGACTGGTTCTTAAGCCTGAAGGGGCCCTTGGCATAGTATAGAGATACTGGACCACCTTTAGTCCAAAGGTTCAATTATATTTTGAAAAAGTTCTTGGAAACCATGTTCCATCATGAGCAAGACTGAAAGTGAAAAGGGCAAGGGAAAATATCAACATATTTTAGCTTAAAGATCTTAAACTGCCAGCAACTGAGCTTTCAGAAAAGCACTTTGGCCTTTTAGAATGGGGAGAACTGCATGAAAGCCATGAAATCGCTAAATGATGATCTGGAAAAAAGGAGATGGGACCAAAGGAAGGGGGGATGGTCATCTGGGTGGGCTGGTATTTCTGCAGCCCAACAAAGTGTCTTCAGATGGGACTGGGCTAGTGGATATCTCTTGGCAGATGTATCATGATGGTACTCCATCTTAATTGCCCCCATGCTACAGGCATCATGGGAAATTCAAGAGGAACTCCAATAGGTGTTTGTGGTGAGCCCTTCCCAGAGTTCCAGGGCCTGGACGGCTGCTGTTTAGTGAAAACAGACCTAAACAGAGGATTCTTCCACATTGGGCGGAGGAGAATTTGGCGATGTGCAAATTCACACAAAGGTTTGTTCAGGCAGAGAATCAAGCTCTGTTCCACAGAAGAGATAGATTTCCTAATCTTCAGAAATTCCACTGAGATGAGAGAGCTTTTCCATTATTAAATATTATTAGAGGACACTCCTGTAATCATATTTCCAACTTCCTCCTATACAGCTGCTTCAGATAGGTTCCCAAAGAGTAGCTGCATTGATCAGAATCTATTGTAAAGCTCTCTAAATCTCAGTGAGACCTACTTCTGTCCAGGGTTTTTTTTAAATATATGCCTTGACTCACTTATATAATTCTGATCACTCTGCAAAAAGCCCTCCGCAGGAATAAGGTTTTACTGCCAAGTAAAACCTCCTACAGAGAATGTAGTGTGCTGTGAATTCCACATATTTCAACCATCACCTTAACAGAGTTCACAATATGAAAAATCTACAGAAGAGGAATTTGACTTTTGTGTTAGCTTAAGTTCTCCCCCTCTCTGCCTCAAATGATTGAGGCTTGTTTTAATGAATCCTTCCATGAAAAGGGATTCCAAGCATGTGATCCTTTAGTCAAATCAGGTCCCACATGATTTAGACTCATATATTTTGTAGGACTATGAAAGATTACAGAGCAGGAGGTATTTTGGGGGCTTGATCTAAAACAACTGGCAATTTAAAAACCTAGATTTTCATTTGAGAATACATTGCAGAAGCTCATCTCAGCTGATGCATGCAAACCCTTCATTTTTACTTTGTAGTTAATAAAGATGTCTAGGGAGCATGCCACTTTTAATATTTCAACAAAACCATACAGATCCTGGCTATAACCCTTGCTCCTATAGAACATGACGGGATATACTTCCCAGTAAACATGCATAGGATTGTACTAGAGGCAGGGCTATATAGCACAAGACCTACTACAGCTGTAATACTGTGCACCAAATTATATAGACTGTACCAGCCATCCCCTACCTAATACCCTCCAGATACACTGGACTGCAGTTTCTGCCATACCACAGCCAAGGTGTGGGAGGGCTGTGGGAAGCCTGGACTGTCACATTCGGTATGCTTTTTAAATTTCATGATCGGTACAGAAGCACAGCTGGATCTGCATCAGTGCACTTCGTATGTGGAACTACATAGATCAGGGATGGGGAACATGTGGCCCTCTGGATGTTCTTTGATTGCAACTCCCATCAGCCCTCAACATAAGCCACGCTAGCTAGGACTGATGGGAGTTACAATCCACCAGCACTTGGAAAGCCAAACATTCCCCCCCTCCCCGCCCCCGGGCCTCAATGTATCAGGATCAGTGTTTCTCAGGCATTTGTTTTTCTATTCTTCTAAGCCAACATTATCTCTGTTTTTTCCAAAGATCCTATGATTGCTAGCTGCCTTGAGCATCATTTTCCAGGTGGAAAGAGAGATATAAATCAAATAAATATGTTCCAGTACATTAAAAGCAGCTAAAAATCAGTGTGCATTGCTGCGTAAGAAAGAACCAAAAACCTTCAGCACAGGGAATAAACACAAAGCCTCATTTTCCCTTGGACATTTTTGTGCTTCAGATAGCTCCCCCAGCTGTTTCCCTGAAACGTTTTCTTTGTGAGTGGGAAAAGCAGCTGGGAGAGAGCACAAATTTGATCCAAAAAGCAGCCAGAGGGCCTCCCCACTAATTTTCCCTTGCTTGCACTGTCAGGCTGCCCCGGCTGCAGCAACACTGGGCGTCTGGTACATACATCTGCCATGAAATATCTAGTTTGGGTACAGTGACCACCTATGAATCACCCCAAAAGAGGGAATGCAGCACCAGAGAGGAAGAGAGGGAGAATGAGAACAGAGGCAGGGCTATTTGCATGATTTGCATAATATTATTTTGTGCTAAATTATATGCATAGATTCAAATTTAAACATAATTGCAGTAATTTAATTAGAAATACATTGCCTCTCAAAGAGAGGGCTGTCCTCTGACTTGTTTCAAAGTAAAGATGCTGAGGCTACATGGGTAACCTAAAATGCAGCAATTGGAGTTAGGAGTTCTTACAAAAATAGGGCTTCGCTCTCTGATGTAGCCACAAGATGTCTTATGTAAACGAGCGGCTATGAAGATGTCTTCTAAGCCTGGGATTACAGTGTTCTCTCTCTTTCTAATGAGAAGATTAGAAACAAATGTATCATGCTACCTACACCCCTATCTGGTTCAATCTACAAATCTGAAGAAGAATGGATGAGGAAATGGTAATTTCTATGCCTCCGACTGTGTAATGGAGGCTCTTGGATCTTTTGGGGAAGGTGTCAGTATTTTCGCTGGCAGCCTCCAAAGGCATGAAAGCAGAGCAAGAGTTTGAATGACTGCCAATTCTCACGCTTTCAAACGTTCTGTTAACACACCATTTGTTGAAATGGTAAGAATATCAGCCTAGTTTTATTAGAGAAATAAAGGCACTTTCTTATGATATGGAATCAGCCCAGGAAACTTTGAACAGTGAGAGCTGGTATAAATTAGAAAGTCTACCCTTCAAAGCACAAGACAATGACTTTTTTCAGAATGACAGGAATTGAACAAGGCAATTGCTTTTTTTTCAGAATGACAGGAATTGTCCAAGAGATCCCTGGGAGATGAAAGAAAGGAGTGTATTTCAGGTAGTGTGGAGACTTAGGAATCATCAAAAAAGAGGACAAACAAGATCCAGCAGAGAACAACTGTTTGCATACAATGCATGCACAATATGCCTGTATGAACAGAATCTGATTCATAAATGGTGGTGGTGGTGATAATGATGATGATGATAGAAATACAGTCCATCCCACAATGATCTGGAAGACTGAGACAAGGTCACCTGGGTACTTCCCTGTTCTGTCTGATGCTCAAGATGGGTAGCAGTTCTTAACATTTTAAAATCTTGAATCAGGAACTGGGCAGGGCACTTTCTTAAGCAGAGAACATCTTCAGATATCTGATCTGCAATATTATTTACTAGGATTATTTAGATTCCACAGCCTGCTTTCCTCATCAGATGCAAGAAGATGCAAACATGCTTACATGATTTTTATTAATTACTTAGCCCAATATATATGTCACCTGCCAGCAAACAAATCCTTCATAAAAATAATAGAAGCTGAATCCACAATAATAATAATCATCATCAGGTTGTTTTGCTCAGGGCAGTTGGTGGCAGATGGCCTCCTTCAAGGCAGGGCATCCAGCTGGATCAGGAGCAGGTGTTTGGAGTTACTCCCATCTCCATCTCATGGAATCCTTCCCACTGGATAGAGGATGACAGAGAACTCTGTGGTGAGGGTGGGAAGCATCCAGCTGGGACAAGCTCCAAGGTCTTTGCCTTTGCTAATGGTGGATCTCGCTCAGTCTCCCCAACCCAATCCCTTCCAGCTGTTTTGGAGTGCAAGTCCCATCGTCCCCTATCATTGGTCATGTCATCCAGGACTGATGAGAGATGTAGTCCAAACCTCTGAGTATTTATGTTCTGCCTACTCCTGGTCTAGTGGACCACATGTTCTTAACCCAGGATATGGATTCAAATGATCAACCAAGATGGGCCAGTCACATTTGGGGGCAATAGATATGCAGGCACCTGAAAGGAAGACCCTGCCTTCTTTCAGCTCTCCTCTCAATAGGGAAAGTATTATCAGAACAGGACAGGATGTTTAAAATATCTGGAAGGGGGCAGGTAGGACAGGCGGAGCTAGATCAACCATCAGCGGTTGTTTGTCTCGCACACAATGAAAGGCCGTGCCTGACATGGATGATCGAAACCTCTAATGCCTCCAACGTGTCCTACAGGTGCACGACCGCCTAGATCGATATTGCTGTGGCTTTCAACCAGATCCTTCTGAGCCCTGCGTTCAGGAAATGCTCCATGAGAAATGTGGGAATCCCACAGAACTGCTCTTGGTTCACATCTTGGTATGCCATTTCCCAATTATTTCGTTTGCTTCTTATATAAGCTCTGTGATTTATGGAGTAGTCTGGTTAGGCCTGTCTGCCCCTCATGATATCACCCTCTTGACCAGTTGGGTGAAATGTCAAAATAAATGTTTTGGACGAAGGAAGATAATTAAAAATGAAATAAGTTGCAAATCTGTCTGGAAGGCCTGAGCAGCCTGTAAATGGCAGCTCACACTTTCCAGTGTAAGTGAACTTGTATTGCAATGTCGAGGGGCGGGGGGAGGCCAACTCACTTCATGTAGTAAGATTTTCATATGTTACATCAATTTCTCCATAGCAATTTTCAGAAAAACCTAATGATCAACAGATTGCTGCATGTACCTGTATTGCAGGCTCCCCACAGCCAAGTTCCCTCCAGATGTATTGCCCTAGAATTCTCAGCAACCCATAGCCAGCTGTATTGGAGGTTGTAGTGCAACACATCTGGAAAGAACCAGGTTGTGGGAGGCTGATAAAAATGCAATGAGGTGAGAACCCTTGGACTGTTTCCAGATTTGTGGGGGCTTACTACCTTTCCAGGAAAAGGAAAACATTAGTGGACAACTTCAGCGTAATCATCATCATTCATTTATTTTTAAAGCTCCTACCTATTTTTAAAGCTGCTAAATAATGACTTGTAGGCCCTCATCCTGAGAGTCCCTGAAGATCTTCCCTCCAGGAGGGACATAGGTACATATCTGTGGTGAGTCATATCAATGAACCAGTCCTGGCAAGTTTTCATCTTGACTGGGAGGGTCTTTTGCAGCATGGAAGGTCTCCATTGTCCATTCAAGACCAGGCCATCTGAAAATGGTTTGCATTACAACAGGGAATGATGTGTTGTCATCAGGGGAAATCCATTTCCCCTAGCCACCTTGAGAATTGCAGCTAAATTCAGAAGGTCCAGTGGGCTGGCAGATGACTCCACCATTCCTGCTATATTTTAAAAAAGTCCCTGCATCTCACCTCTGTGAGTCCTGGCTCTGACCAAAGAGGAAGAAGGAGAAGTGAGGAGTGAAGGAAAGAAGGAAAATGGGGTGGCAGACAGAATGAGGAAGAGAGAGCCTTGCTCACTCTTGGTTCTGGCTCTGCCAACTGCCAGCTTTGGCCAAACACACTGTCTCTCACAAATTACTCCCAAGGGAAGGTTGCCCTTAAGGGGAAAAGGTACCCCACTCCAGACTAGTGTCTTGTTTATCTATAGTTTGCTCTTTATAGTTTATAACTTCTCTTTCACAGTTTGTAGTCATTTCATTGAGGCGTACAAGGGAGAACATCCCTGAGCATGGTCTGAAAGTATACAATACGGCCACCTTCTGAAGCTAAGTAGGTCCGCATCTGCTCAGTGCTTGGAGGGGAGACCACCTTGGAATTATGTATAGTCACTTTGACTTCCATGCTGGAAGAAAAGTGAGGTCTAGGTGTAATACAGTAACAAATGGACTGAAGGATTATGCCCATAGTACTCTGGAAGTGGTTCAAGTAATGTTACAATAGGATTGTTGTTAGTCGCGAAGTTGTGTCTGACCCATTTTGACCCCTTGGACAACATTCCTCCAGGCCTTCCTGTCCTCCACCATCCCCCAGAATCCACTTAAGCTCACACCAACTGCTTCAGTGACTCCATATAGCCATCTCATCCTCTGCTGTCCCCTTCTCCTTTTGCCGTCAATATAATAGGATACAATACAGTTATTACTCCTTTCCAAGTGACAGATTCCAGTCCCTGTTTAAGCCACTTCCAATACCAATTCTCTTTTTCTTCCTGGATTACGATCACTGTAAAATCTTCAACAGGATTCAAGTCCTATGAAAAGCCATTAATAATAATCCTAGCTGTGAAAGCCAGTGTGGTGTAGTGGTTAAGAGCATGGGACTGGGACAGGCGATCTGTGTTCTAGCCCCTGCTCAGCCATGAAGCCAACTGGATGACTTTGGGCCAGTCACAGACTCTCAGCCCAACCTACCCCACAGGGTTGTTGTTGTGGGGATAAGATGGAGGAGAAGATGTAAACTGCCTTGAACCCTTTGTAGGAAAAAGGCAGGATATAAATTGAAATAATAAATAAATATAAATTGAAATAGTAAAGAAATGAAAGTGCTATCCAAACTCCCCTATGATTGATTGTCTGTTTCTACCCTAACCAGACCGAAAGCTGGTTTATACATAATGACAACTCAGAGTACAGCTTGAGTAAGGCTTGCCATCAACTCATGGATTATTGTTGAATTATGGGTTGTTACATGAGACTCCATAGTATGGCTTAACGATGACCTAAACACAAACACTCCAGTGTTCAAAGCACAACCAACAATGGATTTTTCTGGACTGTTTCTACTTAACAACCCATAGTTAAACCATAAGGTAATAACAACCCATAATTTAGTGCCAAACCATGCTCCCTCTATGCTGAAGCCATATCTTGTGTTATCATTCCATATCAACGAGGTGATGGAGTTCCCATTTTACACATAACACAAACCAACCGTTTGTTTAATCCATGGTTTTTCATATTGTGTGAACCCAGCTTCACTTACAAACCATTGCTTGTTAAGTACAAACAATCCTGAAAGAGACCCCCATGGTTTATATTGAGTTGTGAACTTTGGGTTATGTAAGGTATGGGTTGTTCATGGATTGTTTTATTAGGCTATAGAGGTAGCAGGCAAAAATAGTAAAAAAAGAAAAGAAAATGAACTGTTTACATGCCAGTACTGTAGCACTGCCAACACTTTTGGCTTACAGAGAGTGAGTGAAGGAGGAGAGAAACAAAATGAGGGGATTAAAAAACCAAACCGTTGCTTCTTCAATCATCTGCCACATAAACCTTGGTAAAGCAGCAAGCCATGGGTTAAATAAGCCATGTGTCGGCATTATGTGGAAATCGGGATGAGGACTATCCCCAAACACCCCATGATCTTTCTTTTTCTTGTCCTTCATAAGCCATATTGGGAAACATGAAACCTGTAAGACTTGAGCAGTAAGGCAAGAAACCCAGATCTCCTCAAATGTATTATAGACTGATCCCATACATACGCATGTCCTCAATTATTGCTAAGTTTACTCTTCTTTTCCAGATCCGGAAGACCAAGCCTTCTCACTTAGTATTTATTGACAATGCAGGCAGACCTCTCCATCCAGACGCAAAACTTAATTTCAGGATGCTGGAAGGCATAGATGGGTAAGATGAGTGGTAGGCAAATGTTCTAGTGGAAATTTTCATGGGGTACCTTTGCTTGATAATATTTCTGCCCTACTCTGAAAAAGGCTGGTTTGGATTCAGACTTGCTAATATTTTAAGTAGATCCATCAAAATTATATCACACTGAGTTCAGTGGGTTTTCACAAAGCAATCCCTAATTTAGACACTCCCATTGTCATTCATGGGTTGAATTCAGAGTGGCATGAAGCAGAATCCTACAAACTGGATGATCCCACTAAGCAGGGGTGTTGAACCTCAGATCTGTGGGTTAAATCCATCCCTCCAGCACTCCGCAGAGGGTTTATCCCTCTTTTCCTGTCTCTGGCACCTGTCTTGCAACCACTGTTCATTTTGTGGTTTCCCAGGGTTTTTTTTTTTTTACCTTTCTGTAAGGTTGAAATGCCTTTCCTAAAGCTTACTTCCTGCCAGTAAGAGTTTTATGCTAAAATATGCTGGTATTTTTAGCCCCATTCAACTACTGGAATGCAGCCCAAAGAGGTCTCCAGAACTGAAGGTGGCCCTCAGACTGCAAGAGGTTTTGCACCCCTGTTTTATCAAGAGGAAGCAGCATAGCGGTATTTGCCAGTTCCCTCTGCAGGTTCCTCTGCCTCTGAAAATCTGCTCTGGAAGGTTGGGGGAGCCTCTGGAAAAGGTGGCACTGGCTGCTACAGGGGCAAAGAGGAATCAGTGAAACTTGCTCCTCCTCCTTTTTTCTCCTGCAGGCAGCTTCCACTGAATCTACTTCTACTAAGGTCTTCTCTTTGAGGGCAACTCTGGATCCAACCCATAACTTAGGACAACCTTATTCTTTCTGAACAGGATATTAGTTAGCATCCTTCAATACATCTCTGGTAGAAACAACTGAGACAAAGGCCTGTGTTTGTTCCCTGCCTCTACCCCTATGCTCAAGGTCTCCAGGTGGAAAAGCATTGATTCTAGCACAAAACCCTGTGGGACACATTTGATTACATCCTTCCATTGGGAGAAAGCACTCTTTATTCCCACACTCTGCTTTCTGTTCTTTAACCAGTTACTGATCCGTAAGTGCCCCCCTTATGCAATGACTGCTAAGTTTTCTTAGGAACCTTTAGTAAGGGCATTTGTCAAAGGCCTTCTGGTAATAAGTGATGCCTACTGGATCACTCATATCTGCATACTTATGGACACTCTCAAAGAGCTCAGATAAGTTAATTAGCCAGACCTTACTTTTGCAGAAGCCATGCTGGTTCTTTTTCAGCAGGGTGTGTCCCTTTTTGAGCGTGCTGATTCCACCTATAATAACAATTTCAACCAATTTACCCAGAATGGTTGTTAATCTAACAGGCTTGTAATTTCCTGGATCTCCTCTCCATCCCATATAAAAAATAGGTATTACTTTGGCTGTTCTCCAGCCCTGTGGTACACAGGCTGCTCTCAGGAACATATTACATATTTTTGTAAGAAGGTCAGCAATTTCATATTTGAGCTCTTTAGGTATCCATCTCTAGGATGGATACCATCTGGGCCTGCAGATTTATTAACTTTCCATATGTAAGTAAAGTTGAGAATTTCATCTTTTGTCGCTATACTATCTGCCTTAATTCCTCAGATGCCCCCCTCTGAAATAGGTAAGTTCAGGTACAGGAATCTGTTCTGTATTCTCAGCTGTGAAGACAGATGGAAAAACATTCATTCAGCTTCTCTGCAATTTCCTTATTGCAATTTCCTTTAGTGCTCCTTTAATTCCATTACCACCCAATGGTCCAACTTCTCCTCTGGGTGGTTTCTTTCTTCTGATGCATTTAATTCTTGATGGTCAGCCTTGAGGCTTTTAGTGATGTGCTCCTCAAAATGTTTCTTTACTTCTTTTATTCCCTGCTTAAATCTCTCATGAGCAAGTTTTTGCTCCATTTTGTTTTCCTGATTTGGGCAAGATTTCCATTCTTGAAGGAAGCCTTCAAGCTGATGTTTCCAGGAAGAGATTCTGAAGAACTAAGGCAAATAGTGGTGACAAGACATGCCATTCTTGATGTTCTTGACTTTCCTGTCAAATTCAAAGATAAATAATCTCTAAGCTCAGATGATATCCATGACAGAGTCTTTAAATAACTCAGATAGGAAAATGCCGATCTAACACGTTCCTAAGATTAGCCTCTGTACCGGAGGCCAAGGTAACACAAATAATTTAAAAGGAATCCAGGGTGAGGACAGGAAATTACAGGCCAGCTGCCAGTTAGCTAAAATCTGTTTAGGTAAGTTGATTGAAGGTATTATTAAAGAAAACTTTTGCAAGCATGTGCAAGGACAAGCCCTGCTAAAAAAAAATGAACATGGCTTCCAGTTAGGCAGTGCCAATATCATACTGCCATTATACAAAACTATTGTTCTACCACACTTGGAATATTGCATGCATTTCTAGCTGTCTCACCGAAAAAGGGAGATTGTAGAGTACACAAAAGGACAGATGTAATGAGGAAAGGGCTGGAACAACTTGCTTATGAGGAAAGGTTACAACATCTGGGATTGTTTAGCTGAGAAAAAAAGGGAAGAGGAAGAAGAACGATGCCAGGGTTTTACAAAATCATGCATGGTGTGGACACGTAGATAGGGAGAAATGTTTCTTCTTTTCTCATAAAACTAGAACTCAGGGTCATTCCATGGAGCTGATCTGTGGAAATTTCAGGACTGATTAAAGGAAACGCTTTTTACACAACACACTTAAAACTATGGCATTCACTACAAGAAGACACAGATGGCCATGAATTTGGATGGTTTTAAAAGGAGATTAGCCACATTTCTGGAGCATAAGAAATATATTTTTTCAATTTTTTTCCTGACTCCTTTTACCCCTTCATAAAAAGTATGGTTATAGTGGATGATCTCAACTTTCAGTCCACTCCTAGTTGCTTCTTTCCAGACAAAACAAAATAGTACAGAGGAGTGGTGTTAGGAGCCAGCCCACTTGGGCTACTGCTCCAAATCTTTCATTTGGGGCCCTGAGTCTCTGAGAGGCCCTGCTGTCCATGGGCCCCTGTTGAAATAAAAATATAGGGGCGCTGGTGACCTCTATTGCCTCTGTTCCCTCTGGATTGACTGGCTTTTTGCCCACATGTTGTTGTTCCCATTTATTGATTTATTTTCTATGCCACCCAACAGCCAAGGCTCTCTGGGCAGTTTACAACAGCACATGAAAAATACAGTATATGATGCAGCATATTAAAACATCATAAAAAGCTTGCCATACAAATGAAGAACCAAATTTAAAACAGATACAAAAAATGACAATAACTTAAAGAAAATCTTAGGACCTGTGCTTCTCCTCCTGCTGCCCCCCAACCTGAAGTCCCACTCACCCACAATCAAATGCCTTCTGCCTATCCAAACATCCCTTTCTACAAATTAGGGTGTCCTTAGAACATCGGATCCTTTAAAGACACACATGCACATACATACACACAGATACTAGGACATACGTTAATTTGCATGTGTGCGTCTGTGTGCTTTTTTTCACCCTTTGTGGGCACCCCTTTCTTCCTAGCAGGGTTTATTATTACAATAGAATAACTCCTGTAAGACCTGCACCAAAACAGAGAAGGAGAGGACCACCCAGGCCTAAAGCCCTAAAATGTGCACACGCTCATAAAGCTATATTCACACATGCACATACACATCCCAGCCCTCCTGTCCGGCCCTTAAACACTTGACCTCTGCTTCCATCAGCTTCGCAGCTCTGCATTTCCCTAAAACAACCAGCACACCAGGGCACTGAATGACAGCACTGGACTATACTACAGAGCTGTCATAAATTACTCTGTCCCTGCTCCCTGGAAAATTAGGATGCCACGAAGAAAAACACTGTGCTATTTTGCAGGGTTGATGTAACCCACAGTCTTTCAGTCACCACCATAATTCCTATAATGTATACATAATAATGGTGCACTTTATCTTTCTGCCTTGTATTTTTATAATGTTTACAAACTCAGAAAAAAATTATTAATGAGACTTGAGTTAGAAAGATCTTAAAGTCCTGATTTTGCCCTTAGTTTTTATTTCTGGGTAGATACGCTGTTGTCCAATCTGATAAACCCCTGGATTTCTTAATTGTTCTTCAGAGGCTTTAATTGCTTTTCACTGGGGAACACACCCCCAGCCCATTCCAAAAGCTTTGCAACAAATTAGAAGCTTCCTTCTCAAGACTGTGGGTATAGAAACATGGCCGTGATTTTGTGTATGGGCTAAAAACCTGAAAATCAGAAGCAGGCTATTTTTGCTAGAAAATGAATGGCGGAATAGTGGCTGACATTTTTCCCTTCATCTCAGGTTTTACAAGCGGTAAAGACTTACCTTTTAAAAAAAAATCTGGAGATGATGGGTCATGGGGGAGTTCAACTGGCCCCTTCGATTTTTTCTGTAAGACACCCATGGAGGTCACTATAAAAGTTGGTTGTAGCGAAAACAGTAAAAGTCATATGGCATTAAGTAGTAAAATCCTATCCTATGTGCAATCCTATCTACTCGGGAAGAAATGCCCCACTGAGATTAATGGGGTTTTGGACTACAGCATACACATCCCCTTATCATTAGCAATGGGAATTTGGAAATGCAGTTCAAAACTTCTGGAAGGCACTAGATTTCCTGCTCCTGAACCATTATATTGTGTTGTAAGCTGTCAGGTACTACAGCCCGCTTCTCCAGACAATGTGGGTTTTAATGCATGACAAGTTACAGCGTAAGGAAAGTGTTAGCTTTTAAGATGCTACATGACTGTGATTTTCTTTTATAACAGATGGTTTGTGTCTCATGCATTGAAGCAAGTTTCTTGTTCTTGAAATCATGTCCTCTTTGCATAAAATAACACCAAAAGTTATGAATCTGAGCCATTTAGGAAGCAGAAGTAGGATTGCTTCTAATGCTCTAATAGTTTGAGCTTATGGGATTCTGTCTTTGAAAAACTTGTCTTTTTTTCCCCTGATCAATGCTTTTGTCAGGTTTCCTGCGACAGCTTTGACTATACTCAAATCAGGCTGTTTACAAAACCTGCTTTTACAATCACTGTATGTTGATGAAGAATTCTGGGAGACCCATGGTGGAGAAAAAGGAGTTCAGGATTGGGTTCAGGCCATTGACAGGAGAGGGCAGATCCTGCTTCAGTATATTCAGGAGCGGAATTTGACAGCTGTTGAAGACTCCACACTTTAGACTCTGGTGTCAGGGGTGCTGCATTCACCTGCTATCCAAAAGAACTTTGAGCTTTTTCTGTGAAAATACCTCAGTGGAAAGATGCCAGCAAACTCACCGGCACTTGATCGATGATGAAACATCTGTCATATGTGAATTCAGGAAATAACCAAGAATAAAAACGAGAGAAAAATAATGGCCTGACAGACTTATAATATGCACATACAGATTTGTTCTATGTATGTCAGTGTGTATAAGGCTATCATCCACATGACATGTTCTGATATTCTAAAGGAGTTGTTTTATTTCACATCTACATGCACAGAATTATGAAAAGGTAGTCTATGGATCCTATATCTTTCTAGTCAGGTACTGATGTGTACAGCTAGACGGAGATGCGTACCACCACCATAGCCATCTAGAGGGTTAAGGGAGCAATTCTATGACCCCTAGGTAGCATTGGAGGAGCCATAGGATATTTCAAATTCCCACTTCCCAGGCTGGATATAGAATTGTCACCTCAGAGCTAGAAACTGGAACTCCACCCTCCCCAAAAAGAACCACACTAACTGCCTCTCTGCAGCCAGGAACTTGACCACAGGGGTCAATGGGGGTGTTTTGGAGGGTGGAGAGCAAATTCTTTGGAGGCCTCTCCAGCCTTCCTTACTCACCCTGTGAAATAGTCTAGGTTCTCTCTAGCTAGAGAGGGGGAAAAATCTCATCTGGCAAAAGCGCTTGTTACACCAGGTATCAGGTTGTTACAACAGGTAATCTTGGGAAGCAGTACACCTCAAAAGGATGCACTTCCCCACCAGATTGTTTCAAAAAGTTCAGATCTTTTGCTGTGGGTTGATACACACTGCTGGAGAGAACAAACCTTGGTCTGGCATTCACACACTCACTTAGAAAGCAAAGGAGAGTTTATTCAGCAGAGAATGTAGAGCAGGCACAAGCTTTTAATCTGATGCTGTGTAGGCAGAAAATATTCCATTGCATCTCAGTGTTGTTCTGTATTTCTAAAAAGATAAAGAACTTGCAGCCTAGCAGAGAGAGAAGCTAACAGACAAAGGGAAAGAGAGATGGAGTCTATTACCCAAAAGTAGATGGAGGGACATTCTGGGAATGGAGGTTTTCTTCATGAGGAAGCTCACTTCATTTTGAGGAAGACAAATCCTACATCCAACCTCATATCTGGACACTCCCATCATTTTCCTTTCACACATTGTGGGGGAAAATACTTATTTAGAACGACTCACAAGATGCAAAGTAATTGAATTATGTTATTTGGGGAACTGGCTGAGAGAGAAACCTCTCTATGAAGTTCATTCTTTGCCATAACATTGCTGGTGATCTTTTCTGATTTTCATTTTATTTTAAAGATTTAAATTTAGGAATGGCTGAGTGCAATACTAAAGCTGGATTGACAAGTCAACCCTATCAGGTCTTTCCATGCACGTCTGCCATTGGACCTGCTTTCCTCTTTGATATCCCAAATGGTGTCAACATCAGGTCATCTCACAGAACAGACTGGCATCCCCATTGTTTGGCCTCTCTGAATTCAAACAGTGGCCGACAACTCTGAAAAGCCCCCGTCTCAAAAATTGTTTCTGCCTTTCCACAGTCACAGCTGGTTGCCATGGAAATGATTAAGATGACTTATCATGGAATGCAGCCGTCAAGAGCTAAAGAACCTTTATGAAATAAATATCCTATTTTTATGTAAATTATTTCCAGTCATAATAATGAGACTTGGGAGAAGGTGAGAAAAGCAAACTTGACACTGTCAACACCAGTACGGCATCGGCAAATGACAGCTGATGTTATCCATTTGGTGTTGACATGCCATTAAAAGTCTTAACACCGCAACTCACAAGCACTAGACAAACGGCAGGTAAATATTCCCCCCTCTTCATAACATCAATTTACCATGATAGAGCTTGGGTTTTTTCAACTTAAAAACTTAAGAAAAGCATTTTTTCCTAAAAAGAAAGAAAGTAAACAAGGGGAGGAAGCCACTCAGTCATTTTTATTTGTTTTAACATTTGCTCAAACACTTCAGTTTCTCCACATGGTAATTTGACCCTTCGAGAGCTTCATTAAGCTCAAATGACTTCAAGCAAAAGGAATAATAAATTAACCCCCATTTCCTTTCATGCTTGCCTCCTCCGTGTTCGTTCAAGCAGAATCTAAACTATGAAATCTGGAAGGAAATATTAGCTATTCATTAAAGGGCACTTTGCAAGTCAAGTCATAAAGGGCTTTGGAAGGTTAAGGGATGACTCACTAGCCTTTTCTAACCATTATTTTTAAATGGAAAAAGTACAAAAAAGGAATTAATCATAATTTTAGAAAACAACAATACAACAAGAGATGGACAAACCCTTAATCTGATGACAGCATAATGCTGTTCTTCCACACAACAGTGTCATGAAAAGGTTTACAAATGGGGAAATGAAAATCTGCTAGAGTGGTCTCCAGTCGTGAACAACAGCTCCCAGTTTCCAGCTTCTCATGGCTGTGACATCTAATAGTATGTTCTAAAGTAAGCTATGTTCCCAAAGGTCATCAAAAGAGGTAGTTGAAAAGGAAAAAGGCAAAACTAGCATATCAAGTCTTGGGGTCAGTTCATACACAATGTATGTCAATTGACAACTCTCTTGACATTGTTCCATCCCTCAACTGAGGCACAATCTAGTCAAAGTAAAGTGATTTCAAGTCCTGGGTGGCTTGCATTAAAGAGACTGAAGCAAGTGTTTAGCTCTCCTATTGAAGAGAAGCCATGGCTGGATCATGGCCTTGATGATTTTCCAATGAGGTGCACATTGTTGGTGGTATAGTCACCGCTTCAAAACTGTTCCACTGTGGTTGATCTCATATTTCCAGGACAACAAATAAGGATCCATGATGCTAGAGTATTATCACTTTGCTAAATATAAATAAAACATCAGGCTAATTTGCATCCATTAATGTTTCTGCCCACCACTTCATGTCCATATCCATGAGAGCGAGCACCAGCTGGTGGGAAGCAGACTACTAGGAACAAGGATTGCTAGAAACATCAGGGCATAGAAAGGATGCGTAGAAGTGACAGTCTGGATCCAGATTTAGTTATACATACTGAAATTAATGGGACCTAAGTTAGTCACACCTTAAGTGTACCATTGATTTCAATGAATTTAGGAATGGATCTAAGTCTGAATCCAACCAAGAATATGTTGGAAAATGGGAACTAGGGGACAAATTAGAGGAGTAGGAGGGGGCTGGGAAACTGCCTGACTGTGAGCATCCTACACAACCAATGTAGACTTAATTGCTATGACTGAAAAGACCTTCTGGAGGGAAAAGTTCACCAGGGAGGTCCTTTACACATTGTGTGGAGAAAAAAGCCAAAAGGGGGGTACAGATTCGCATGGAATTTGCATGTGAACATTTCCATCTCAGCTCCTTCTCAGCTGTTTACATCATTGGCCTGGTGCCCGGCCTTGCTATGGAAAAGAAAAATGCTCATAAAATGTGTGTCTTAAGTCATATCTGAGTGAAGAGATATCAGAAGGGTTACATTTACCACAGGCGGCTCATTTAGCATTAGATTAATAATTCTAACCATTTCCATGGTTTTTCTAGGGCTCCTGTTTTCAGTAGCTATAATAATAGCTTGTACCTAGCATAGTTGTCTGGCTTTCAGGAAGTAATGTTATTTATTGATGCTGTTTGGTAGATGATGCTCAAAAGGACCCTCTCATGAATATGGCATAGCATAAAAGCAGCAGGCCTAAAGATGAATGGATGGAAATTAGCCAACCCTTTATTTACATCCAACAAAAGAAGAGATAAAGCTCCCACTGTGATGGATTTTCTTCATTAGTTCAGAGAACCGCCTAAGGTAGAGCATCTGACATTCCTGCTTTCCAGTGGTTAGGCAAGTAGTTTATCAAAAGCATCCCAAATTGTCAAGAAATGAAGCGGATTAATGGTCAGCAAAGGGTAGATCACAGGATTTAGTAGCAGCTGAAGACAGACTTTCTTTGGTAACTCATGCGCATCCTTCCATGTGCCGAGATGCACAAAGCACCACAAAAATGCAGCCCACATTATCATGCCATACCAAACTCTTTAATTAATTGCATTTCATCATCACTGTGTTCATGGAGGTACCAAAAAGATCTGGGACTCAGGTCCACCGGACAAAAAAAGCACAAATGTACATGTGTCAGTTTCCATAAGCTCTGAAGTCTCTGTGTTTATGTATTTTTCAAATACCGTTGTGCTTAAGGACATCAGTATTTGTGAAAAGGGATGTATGGAGAAGGGAGAAAGATGGCAGTTGATTTCAGAAGAAAACCTCTCAGGCAGAAAGATTCAACAGGGGACAAAGAGAGGGAAAGCACATATAGACAAGAAGGCAGCTAATCTAGGAGGATCAGATGCAACAAAGATCACCAAGGGCCCTGTATAAAAAGTGCCCGTAGTCAACAGGGGGGTGGGCCAAATGCCCCCCCCCCCCAGAGGTTTGGAGCTTCAGATAAAAGATTTAGGACTCCAGCCTTGGTAGGTTGTTCCCTAACTCTACCCCTGCGTAGAGCCCTGAAAAAGTCTCAGAGAAGTTGCTGCTTTTAAAGGGATTGAGGGGGAAACCAGGTGGTGGGGGAGGGAAGAAGTGGGGAAGGAAGGAATTCCTAGTGAGCAGACACATAAATACCTTCCCAGAAATATCCATCAAGATGATTTTCATTATTTTCCAAGCAGGAGCCACTTTGACTGCAAACATTGCCACGGGGGGCACTTGGAAGGATTTCTCACCCCCGAGGAGCCTCTCTTTCCCCAGTAAGGCATAGCACTGTGCATTGGACTTTGCCGGGGGCATTTATGCCCTCCCCTGACTGCTCCATGCCATATGATCCAAGCAAAGCTTCATCAATTGCCAAGTCACCAGGTGGGAAAATTCTGACAGGCACACTTGGTCCTTGGACTGGGGTAGCTCTTTTCTGGTCGCAGTGGGTCATCTGCTCTACTTAGTGTTGCAGAATCTCCCAGCACTGGGCCACATTGCTCACTTTCGCATACATC